TCACCATGTAAATCTCTCACTTATATTTTCACCTGGCAGCTAATCGCATGTACTTGCCACACCAATCTGAGTGTCTTCTTAGGGAACGTTGGGCTGGGGCCTGGGCCAGGGGGTGAGGAGTGGAAGGGGCTGAGGAGCCTAGGCCGAAAACAAGGGTCCAGAGGAAGAATGGTGACCTTACATTACACTAGTGACTAGGTGTAAGGTAAAGAATTATGTGTGTAAGAAGTGAAAGGGGTGTGTGTATTTAAATTAGAGCAGAGTTGCTACCCAAAGGAGTTTCAGTTGACCTGTCAGCTGAAACTGGTCAAGTTACAACTGGAATTGCACAGTCTTTGTCATGGTTAGTAGGTTGTTAAGAGAGTTAGCCCTGAGTGCTCCTCTCCTCATGATAGTAATTAGTACATTAAGAGCTGTCTGTAAAAAAAAAAAAAAAAAACCTACATTAAATGACTGCCGTAGGTACTTTTCTTCTCAAATCTTATAGGTAAATCATGCAGTCAGCTATGAAGTGATTTATAATGCTTCATGAACACAGTATCTGAGATAAATTGGTGAGACAGCGTACAGTTTATCATCAGTTTTGACCCCAGCAAACTGAGTTCCTATAGCGATGTAAGCTCTATACTCTCCTTGAGAAGGGAGAAGGGCTGACTCGGGAAAAATGGAGTACTGCAAATAGCCAGTCCACCATCCTGGGCCTCTGTGGCTCTAATCCACCCTAGTACAGCCTGACAGATGGAATTACATGCTTGCATCAGAGCCTTTAGTAGAATTCTGAGAAATGATTTGAAGAGCAAACATTATTTTCAGTGACTCCTTAACATCATCGGAATTTATAGGATACCACATTGACTGCTATCTTGGTCCAGTCTTCAAAAAAAAAAAAACATAGCCAAGAACCACTGTGAAACTACTTCTAAACTTTTCTCCTGTCTTGGATTCACCAACTCAAAGCTTGATCATTATGTATCAAGAGGCTGAAATAAATGTCCTATTTTTCTTCTCTTTTTTGTGGGGGGGGGTAGGTGATACAGAGAGAGGTAAAGGGCTTCTCTTTCCCTGCTCTTTACATGTACCTATGATCCATCCCCAAACCAGCTTCTCTTCTGTCTTCTATTTCAGTAGCCAAACCAGAAAGAACCCTGAACTCTAGGTTCTTCCTCATTACCACACCCATTCATCACCAAGTCCTTTCAGTTCTGCCTCCTAAATATCTCTAGAATCCATCCATTTATCAGAACACCCATTCCCCTTCCCACCTCCAGACCACATTATCTTTCACCTGGGGTTCTACAGTATTTAACAATGATTACTTCCCTCTGATGCTTTTCTGTATATCAGCGAGAAAAATGTTTCTGAATCATAAACCTGACATGGTGGTCCATTGTTTAAAATCCTTTAGTGGCTTTTTATTGCCTTTATAATAAATTTTCAACTGGTATGAAATTTGTAAGACCATCCATGTCCAGGCTCTTTTGTCACCTCTTCTGCTTCATCTCTCACCTACCATTCCCCGTGCATAACACACTAACACCTCTTCATTTTAATTCTTATTGACTATATGTCAGTTCCTACAGTGCTCCTGAATTTTCTCGCTCTGAGCCTCCTAATATTCAGTGCACTCTGCTTGAAACACTTTCTTCCCCATTTTCCACTGATTGTTTATCCTTCGGATTTCAGCTTAAATGCCACTTCCTAAATTTAGGATACCAGTGTTGACTCCATAATCCTCCATGTTGGTTAGGATAGGCTAAGTTTTGCTGCGATAATGAGCAACCCCCAAATCTCAGTGGCTTAACATAACAAAGTTTATTTCTTGCTCATACTACATGTCCATCATGGCTCAGAGGAGGAGCTCTGCTCATTGTAGCTTCTCAGAGACTCAAACTAACACATAATAGAAGCTCCCTCTCACATGTGAGATCATGATAGCCAAAGCAGGATAAAGGGAATATGGTGAACCATGCAGTAGCTCTAAAGCTCCTTTTAGAAAATGATGTATATTCAGTCATATTTCATTAGCTGAAGCAAGCCCCATAGTCATCCCTGCCTTGAGAGGCGGTGGGGAACTACAATCCTACCACATGCTAGAAAGAAAACCAGCATATGTGTGGGTATCCCCAACGACTGCCACAGCTCTTTTGTGTATACTACCATCTCATCTTGTATTTACTCCAGCATAGTAGTGTCATGCTTTATTATGGTTACCTGTGACCTGTTTCCCCTACTCCAAGCTTTGGAAAGGTATGATCATATTTGTCTCATTCATTACTCTCTCCATTGCCTTCATTGATGCTTGATGCGTAATGGCTATTCGAAAATATTTGTTAACACTCTAAGATTTGGTACTTAGCCTGTTATTCTTTTACCTCTGCCATTTCTCCTTGAGGTCTCTTCTCCTCTCATGGTTTCAGCGTCACTGCCGGAAGGTGAGCTCCATACCCTGACTTCAGTCATATGTCTCCAACTACTCACTCGATATTTCTGCTTGAATATAAAATGCATATTTATGGGGCGCCTGGGTGGCTCAGTCGGTTAAGCATCTGCCTCGGGCTCAGGTCATGATCCCAGGGTCCTGGGATCGAGCTTCGCATTGGGCTCCCTGCTCATTGGAGAGTCTGCTTCTTCCTCTCCCTCTACCCCTTCCCTCTGCTCATGCACTCGCTCTCTGTCTCTCAAATAAATAAATAAAATCTTTAAAAAACAAAATAAAATGCATATTTATTCTTGCAGTCAATATTTATTGATTACTTTCTGGTAAGGCATTATATTAAATGGTATGAGGATACAGAGATAATTAAGATAGTACTTCCCTTCAGAGTGCTTATATTCTAGTATAATACAAGGAAGAATGTAATGAATCCTTAATATGTACACAGTATACAAAATGCTGTACCAGAGCAGAGCAGAGACAAGTGATCTCTGGCAAGATGGAGTTAGGACTTGTGTTATTTCAACCACTGAATTCACTGGGCAAGTGTAAATACTGTTCTGTGCCGGGTCCTCGAGATGACATGAATCAAGTTTTTATCCACCTCACAATCCAATGGGGAGACAGGTAGCTGAGGATGAAAGGGTAAATGGGATTTTAACACAATATGGGAGAGTGACTGAGGGGTAAAGGGGATGGTGCAAAGGAAAGCAACAGAGGCTTTCTTTCATATAGGCGTACAGGAAACATTTATTAAGCACCAGTGCAGTGTCAGACATTGAATACATAATACTGAGGACACAATCCCTACCTTAAAGAACTGATAGTGTGTTGGGAGAAACTTACTATCTGGATTGCCAACATGAGTTGATTTGTTTTGCCATGTTTTTGCTTTGCATCTTTGAGGGTGACTTCTGAGCATAAAAAAGACCATGTATAGCTAATTTAAGGTTTAAAAAATGAAAAGTCAACATATTAAAATTTTGTAATTTAAAACCAAAGAAAATAAACTTTAAAAAAGTCCACTTACATCTCTTATTCTATTTGTAGGTCTAGTGAAATTTAGCAGTTCCTTAAAAGGGGACTTTTACAGCTTAATTAAATTTCTTTAAATATTTTAAACTATATTTACACATTTAAAATGTTTTATTTTCTCTTTGAAGTACTTCAGTTTTTTGTCTAACAAAACATTGAGTTTCAAAGTAACTATAATTATGTGTGTTTAGTAATAAATTAAAATACAACTAATAATATAAATATGGTGAATCTTAGATTATCTTTACCATTTGTAAGGCTATTAAATTTATCTTTTACCTTCCAATGTAAAAGTTTATCAAAATGAATTATTCAATGGCATATTTAAATTGAACTAGTAAGGCTAATTATTAATCTTGACAGGGTAAATTTTCTTAATTGTTACAAACACTTTCGAGACCAACTATACACAAGTTGTCTTTAAATTTAATATGAAAAATATTAATACTGAAGACGTGATTTACTTTATTTCTGTGCCTAATACTTAATTATCTCTGGTTAAAAGATAACCACAAAGGAATATTATGCCACCCCAAGCAAGATGGGTGGGGAGGGGTGGTTACCATCTTGGTGCATTGAGGTTATTTATCAACCAGGGAGACTGGGCTGGGATGCAGAAATTAATTCTTACTGTTGACATCCATGGGGTGCCCTGAACCCCAGTTATAGTCCCTAGAATAGGAACCCCCACATTTATGAAAAGGCTGGTCTCAAGGCTGTGGGCACTTACATCCAACTTATACATAAATTAAATCTTCTGTCTGGCTTGAAATTGCTACATCCTTGTCAGGGTATAATAGCTTCCTTTACTGCTTGCTTTATTTAATTTGCATTTCTTTCACTGTCTTAAGACAGTGTACTATTATCTTTTGTCTGGTTGTAAAGATACATCTATCTAATTCTTTATAACCAACTAATTCTTCTGCGAATATTTTGACCATTATGGTCTGATCTGAGTGAACAAGATTCTGTTCTCTCAGTGTTGTTCCTGCTTAACAGGGCCACAATTCTCACCAATAATAGAACGACATTCAGTTTTATTCTACCCATTCCTTGTGGCTCCATCTAGCTCTTGAGTCACAACACTGAAGTCACGCTCCTGACATAGGAGAGACCATTGTGATACACTTGATGGGATTTGTCAGTTGATTCATGACCAGCTGCTCCTCAGCATGCCCAGGTGTGACACAATCAGCTCGTGGGGCTGAAAACAGCATTACCCTTCTCCTTGCTCAGCCATGATCCAGTTGTGTCATCTTGAGCAAGTCATTTAACTGTTTGGGCCTCAGTTTCCTCATTTTGAAGTTGTAAGAACTCTTAGTTTTAAAATCCTATTATCTGTTAAATTCTAATGTAGGAGAGTCTGAAATATTGGTGTTTTACTGTGTTTTGTGTAGGCATCACTCAAGAATTAGCTACAAAAATTACTAAATTAAATTAAAAAATTAACTAAAAAAAAAATTAACTAAATTTTATCTTCTTGGAAATTACGGAGAGGAGTGAGATAATAAATCGTTTTACTTTATTCCAGATCTTTGATGATGCGTACAAATCCCAGCTTAGTTGTGTGGTTGTGGATGACATTGAAAGACTGCTTGGTAAGTCATAACTTCTGCCATTGTACTATCTTTGCCACATTATACTAATGTCTCACAAATTGCAAGAGAAAAATAACGGGTATTTATAAACTATAGGACAATAAAAATACTTTTCTTTGTCTTACAAGGAATTATGTTATCTGTTACATCTGAAGTCAGTGATGGTATTAATGTTAAATATGCCTTATGACTGTAACTCCATCATAAACTGCTTTCCCGTCAGGGCCCACACCTCATATTATTTTGTTTCTTCCACAGAGTTCTCTGCCCATAGTAAATGATTAGTAGTTTCCATTGATGGATATATTTGCTATTTAGTACCTCTGAGCTTGCCTGTAGCCCAGAATTTCCACTTAGGAACTTTGACAGAACTATGGGAAGAAGGGCCTATGAATGGAGTGAAATAACACTTGGGAGAAGCTGCAAGTTCTCTTGTACCTCAGTCTCTGTTTTATAAGAACGAGTCCCTGTTATAATGCATTTATTCCAGATTTACCTAATTTTTGCAATGAAATCAAATGTGCCTGTTTTATAAGAACAGAGGCTGTGTTCCCTTCCTTATCCCATTGAGTAATTGTGCAGACAAAAATGGGATAACAGTGTTGAAAACATTCTGAAATGTTTACTGGTGCTGTACAGTTAAAAATTTTTTTAAAAATATTGATTAACCATCTCTTATGCTAAAATGCACTGCTACAGGGGCACCTGGGTGGCTCAGTCATTAAGCATCTGCCTTCGGCTCAGGTCATGATCCCAGGGTACTGGGATCGAGCCCCACATCGGGCTCCCCGCTCCATGGGAAGCCTGCTTCTCTTTCTCCCACTCCCCCTGCTTGTGTTCTCTCTCTCACTGTGTCTCTCTCTGTCAAATAAATAAATCTTTAAAAAAATAAAAAAAATAAAATGCACGGCTACCCCCAACGCACTTTGTACCCAGGATACAAAGATGAATAATAAGAGAGTCCCTGTGTGCAACTCATAAGGTGTAATACCCAGTAAATACCTGAAAAGTATTGTTACTTATATTTTTTTCACTGCAAAAATTAGATAAATCTGGAATAAATGCATTATAATAGTGACTCGGGATGCTGTGATAACTGTATTGAAATTGAACCCACATGGTGACTTCATAAACTTCTGAAAATACTACGCAACACCTGAGTAATCCCTTCTTAAGCTATCCAAAATGGTGTAGTAATGACTTCAAGTTAACTGTTCTTACCACATTTTCCTCATGATTTTCAGACTTGCTTTAGGTCCTCTGTTATTTATTTTCTTGTTTCTTAAGGCAATGTTTGTTATAAAGCAAAGACGTACCTATATGTAATAAGGTGTATCTGAGGTCTAAGTCTTAATGTGATAGTTTTATCTAGTGACCTGGGTTTTTGGTCTGCTATTTTTGATACATTTCAGCCTAGTTTATAGGATTATTTCTTTAAAAGCTTTTAAGCACAAACTCATAGCTCTGTGTAAATTCCTTTATCTAAACACAATTGAGATGTGTGGTCATAGCAACACTACTATGTCAGGAATGTGTGCCCTCTGAGTATATTTTCACTTGTATGAATAGTTATTATCTGTACTTGTTTGTTCATTTATTCGACAAGTAAGCTGAGCCCTTACTACTGTGCTAGAATTATTAGGGTCTCAGAAAAAATAAGTAACATGCTGTTGTTGTAACACATTGGTAAAAATTATTGCAAAGTAGAATGTGCTATGTGTTCTGGATATTCAGAAAAGGGAAAGATCACTTTTGACTTCAGAGGGCTGGTGCCTGAAGGTAGTTCTAAGCATAAGGCAAGGGTGCATATATATGCAGTATGCAGAGAAAGCTGAGGAGGGGCATTTATGCTGAATCTTGAAGAATTAGTAGAAGTTTAACAGAAAATTTTAGAAAGTTCTCTGTTCTTCACCATCTAAGGACCAGTCTTAGTGACTCTACCATCATTTCAGTTATATTGAAGTACCTTACGTACATTATTAATTGCCATTTCCCCCTCTACTCATTTTCTAGTATATTTTGTTGCCTATGAGCTTACTGTATTACCATAGTTTACAGTAATTTCTTGGAAATGCTTGGTAAATACACCTGGGTTTTTTTCTTCCTTAAAAAAACAAAACAAAAACAACTGTCTCTGAATATTAGACAAAGATATACACAAACAATGAATCATGGAACACTACATCAAAAACTAATGATGTAATGTATGGCGATTAACATAATAAAATAAAATTTAAAAAAAAAGATGTCTACCTGAACTCAAAATGGATATTTAGAAGCTTTTAAAAAAAATTTACAGATGAGAGTTCTTACATAATCTTTTAAGCTTTTAAGTTATTGCAGATACTATTTTTCTAATTATCGTTAGTTGCATGACAGTTACTTAGGACTATGTTTACTCTTGATGCAGAAAAATCTGAATGTTTGGAATATGTGCAGATGTGTATCGAATCCCTAAAACATAGCAATGTTTCTCTTCCAGATTATGTCCCTATTGGCCCTCGATTTTCTAATCTGGTATTACAGGCTCTTCTCGTGCTTCTCAAAAAGGCACCTCCTCAGGTAAAAATAGCATAAGAAACATTTTCACAGAATTTTTCCAGTTATATTGCATATAATGGTGCAAATAAGCTGCTAAATAAGCAAGCGATCATAAACATAAAATTCTGTTGTTGAGGGGCTTTGGAAAAGTCATCTAGTCTGGCCTTCTGTTTTAAGGTAAATGATTTCTTAACTGAGAAGTTTCCTTTCTGAATATCCCAAAACCCTAGTTTTGATTAATGTTCTGTTTTTGTTGTTCTGTAAATTCCCCAGGATATTACACATCCCTAGCCACCTTCATCTCCCATGAGAGATCATGATATTCATGTAGAAGGGATTGAATATACATTCCCATTTGTTTCATTTGTCATTTGATAGATTTTTCCTAAGAAATTATATTTGGGGATATTTATTTCCTGTAGGCAGATTTTTTTCTTTTTAAAAAATGTTTACAGTTAAGCTTGAATTATTTCTGTTGTGTCATGTGGCACTTTTGAGGAGGGAGTTCATAGCCAGGATCTTTGTTCATGTGGTTGTATTTTTACTGATGTGGCTACTGGAGACTGGTGCTTTTGGTAACTTAACACATTTAAAAGTAATCTATGAGGGTTGGTTAAATATGTTAATTATGTAGAGGCTGCCAGAGCATGTTTGGCTATGACACAAGACAAATTCTCTTGATTGATTTCGTGTGCTGTAACCTTTGAGAAATGCCAAAGACAGATACAAAGGGGTAACTTGAAAACATCTTAATGTCTGTGGGAATCTTGTATTTGAAGTTAGAGATATTAACTAGGCTGTATGGAAAATATTTCATGTTAAGTTGGTGAATCTGCTTTTTAATTTAACGGTTAAAATTGTGTGCGTGTGTGTTAGAACTAAAAGTGATGGGTCTTGATTTTCTAGGATATTTTTGGTTTTTTGTATTTCTAGAATAGTGAAAAGAAACATAAGGTATAGCAACCTTGAAAATTTACTATATATATATGCACTGTAAGAATTTTGTAATCATTTTTCCATAAACCATCATTCCCAGTAATTGGAGTTTTAGCTCATCCTAGATAGGCTCAAGTTAGAGAAGGGAGTATTTATTTTTCCTTTCTCTGATTCCTTCAATAAATATGTAAGTAGATAAATCTAAAATTGCTGGAAAAGGGACACCTGGTTGGCTCAGTCAGTTAAACATCCGACTTTTGATTTTGGCTCAGTTCATGATCCAGGGTCCTGGGATCGAGCCCTGTGCCCGGCTCCCCGCTCAGTGGGAAGTCTACTTGTCTCCCTCTCCCTCTGCTCACACAGGCACACTCTCTCTCTCTCTCTCTCTCTCTCTCTCTCTCTCAAATAAATAAAATCTTTATAAATAAAGTTGTTGGAAAAAGTAAATAACCCCAATATCCGTATATATCACATACCAAAAAATCCTTTCCTATGAAATAGCATTTTGAAAATTATTAGATTGGGAGACTTTCTCCAGGCATTTAAATTTGTATCTTATTCAGGGGCACCTGGGTGGTTCAGTTGGTTAAGCAGGTCATGATCCCAGGGTCCTGGAATCAAGTTCCGCTTTGGGCTCATTGCTCAGCAGGGAGCCTGCTACTTCCTCTACTCCTCCCCCCTGCTCGTGCTCTCTCTCTCTCTCTCAAATAAATTAATTAAATCTTTAAAAATATATATATATCTTGGGACGCCTGGGTGGCTCAGTCGGTTGGGCGTCTGCCTTCAGCTCAGGTCATGATCCCAGTGCCCTAGGATCGAGTCCCGCATCAGGCTCCTTGCTCGGCGGGGAGCCTGCTTCTCCCTCTGCCTGCAGCTCCCCCTGCTTGTACCCTTGCTCACTCTCTCTCTCTCGCCCGCGCGCTCTCTCTCTCTGACAAATAAATAAAATCTTTAAAAAAATGAAATAAAAAAATAAAAAATATATCTTATTCAATCTTTAGCTAAAAAGAATTTATGCTAGAAGAAGAATAATTTTTCAGTGATATTTTTCAAACTGTCCTTTACATTGTTAAATACATTTATTTAAACAGAGAGACATTCCCTGGTTGAGAATTATTTGTAATCCAAAATAGATCCTGATAGAAATAAATAAAGTATATTAAAAAGACTTGCAGCATTTTGATTAAAGACTTAGGAATAACTTTCCATTTTGTAAAAATGTAAAATTCTTGAGGATAGGAACATTATCTAATGTTTTTTAAATCTCACAGCGTCTGGCACAAGTCTGTACTTCATGAATAACCTATTCAACAAAAATATAGATAACATACTTCTACAGATATTTTTTGAGTGCTCATTTTGGTGGGCTTAACTATTTTGTATTGTTGTAATTTATATTTGGCAAGGTATGATTAAAGTGAAAACATGCAAAAGTAAATAAATTTCAAATGGCCAACGAGCACATGAAAAGATACTCAACATCACTGGCCATCAGGGAAATGCAAATCAAAGCCACAGTGAGATACCACTTCATACCCACCAGGGAGGCTATAACCAAAAAGTCAGATAATAATGTGTTGCTGTGCCTGTGGAGAAATTGAAACCCTTATACACTGCTGGTGAGCATATAAAAATTGTGCAGCCTTTGGGAAATAGCCTAGCAGTTCCTCAAAAGGTTAGAGGTAAAGTTACAATATGACCCAACAATTTAGGTATATACCCCAAAGAAATGAAAATATACGTCCACACAGAAGCTTGTAGATGTGTTCAAAGCAGCATTATTCATAATAGCCAAAAAGTGGACACAACCCAGAAGTTCACAAATAAACCATGGCATATCCATACAATGGAATATCATTCGGCAATAAAAAGAAATGAAGTCCTGTTACATGCTGCAACATGGATGAACTGTGAAAACATGCTAAGTGAAAGAAGCCAATCACAAAAGACCACAGATTGGTTCCATTTGTATGAAAGGCCCAGAATTGCAAATCTGTGAAACAGAATCTAGTAGATTCATCGTTGCCTAGGACTGGGAGGGGTGGATAGGGAGAATGAGGGGTGACTGCTAATGGGTGTGGGGTTTCTTTTTGGGGTGTTTCACATGTTCAAAAATTGATCATGGTGATAGTTGCACATTCTGAGAATATACTAAAAACCATTGAATTGTACACTGTAAATCAGTGAATTGTGTGTTCTATGACCTATATCTCAATAAAGCAGTACTTTAAAGAAGAAAGTGATTGCAGAAGCTACTTAATTGATGAAAGGAGGGTTATAGGGAGAGCTAGAAGCAAGGAGTGAGCATCCCAGGTACATGGCCCAACTTGGGAGAAGTCCTAGAAACAGGGATTGGATCATTAAAAAGGGGTGTGGAATGCACTTCTCTAAGGACTGAAAAGGAGGGGTATAGGAATATGTAAGAAGTCAAAGATAGATCTGGTTGCCTTAGTGATTGGAAATGGCAGGGATTCTCTTTTAAGGATTACCAGCCTGTCATTAATCAGAATTTGGTGACTCTGACCTGGCCTGCTATATAAGTGCATCAGTGGCCGGAGAAGTTAATGTTTCAAATATCTCTAGTTGGCGTACATTTGACAAGATGAAAATATGCTTTCTCTGTACCACCTTGCTTTTTATTAAATTAGTGTGTATTCTCTCAGAAGAACAAGGGAAAATTTTCAGGCTGATCCACTGTCGAGAATATTTGTCTTTCTAAAGTGGAAGCATTCAATTCACCAAACCATTATCCATGTTAGGTTTTTCAGATGTTTTCAATTAAATATTAAAAGTGTATGAATCTGAGTGTTGTAGAGCCATGTAGGATGGTAGAAAACTATTATTTTTATCACTGTCCAGAAAACAGAAGTTGAAGGCATTTTTCTTTAAAAAGAGGAATTGTGCATGTATACAATATAGTAATCATACCAGCCACAGAATCCTTAATATTGTATTTGTTGTAATTCCAGCTTTCACACAGAAAAATTATGTGTGCATGTGTGCACATGCTCAAATAAAAGAATCCCTTCAGGGGCACTATGTTGTTATGTATCAAGATATTCTCTTTTCTCCTCCTCCCCTCCCCCACACCCCTCCCTCGTTGTAAATTGGCTTATTAAAACTGGTTCACAAGCCTTCTTTTTTTCCCTTTGTGATTGCTTTGGTCTTGGATTTTCAGTGTAGGACTAAAAATTCAAGTCAGATTTCAGTTACTAGGATAATTTTCTTTGAATTTTAAATTTTTCTAAGTAAATGCATAGATTTTTAATGAACCTGGTATTCAGTGGGTTTGCTTTAAATTTAGCTGGAGAGTTAATTTCATGATTGATTTATTAGCCCTTTGAAAGTATAAAAAGTGGTATCTGTAGTTCATGAAGACTGAAAAACATCATCACATTTTGTTTAGCATCTTTTTAAAACCAATTAAAAGCTTTTCTAAAATGGATTGAACAGGAGAAAATAAAACATGTTCCCTAGGTCTTTATTTCAATCAAGTTGCCCTGTGTTGTGCAGGAGAAGAGATCGAGGGGGGGTAGAACACTGAAAAGGGCTGTCCCAGCAGGGAGCCCCGCGGGAGAAAAGGGCTGCTCTGAGAACTCCCGGCCGCGGCTCCGAAAGCCCCCAGCCTGCTTCATCTACATGCAGAGTCACACAAGGCATGGGGGTGCTCACCGGCACCACAGAGGTTTCACATGTGCTTCCCTGCTGATTCCTGTGAAAAGCTAACAATTGGCTCAGAGGGTAAAAGACCACTGCAGTTCACCCTCCCCGAGCTGGATGTACAATTTGTCCAGTGTTAGGAAATGTCCGGCTTAGCAGTGAGAGGCTTGAAGACACCCCTCCTTCCAGTGAGATTCCTAAAGCCGGCTCTTTTACTCAGTGACACTGGGGCTCTTTTCAGGTTTTGCAGATTTATGGAAGTTGAGGGGAATGTGCTTTTCAACGACAGGAGGATGAAAGCCTTAGTCTTAATGTCAAGGAAGAAGCGGTAGGAAAGCCGTAAGGCCAGGTAAATCCTCCTGCAACCTGCAGCACCGACGGCTTTATTATTTTTCTCAGAAAGCTCTTCTGGCACCTTCTTTTTT